GTACGCAAACCAAATTACTTTTGATCTCTATGTATGTTTGTGCTCACATCCTTCTACACACTTAGCATGGGCCTCAGCCAACTCTGTAAGTTTAAAATCCCACCATCTGGGGCGGTGCCAGTGGCTCAAAGGAGTAGGGCACCGGCCCCACATGCTAGAGGAGGTGGGTTCAAACCCAGCCCCAGCCAAAAAAAAAAAAAAAAATCCCACCATCTGTTAAAATTCTATACAAATGCCTGGACTATGTTCTTGATTTTCTACCCTTTCTTCCTTCTACTCCTTACTAGAGGTAATCACCTTCTTCTTTGAATATCTACAATACTTATCTGCATGACCTTTGTAACAACCTCTCACTTTGTGCCTCTTAATATAATTATTTAAGGCCCAGAGGCAGTGGTTCACACCTGTAATCCAAGTACTCTAGGAGGCCCAGGCCAGTGGATTGCTTGAGCTCACAAGTTTAAGACCAGCCTGAACAAAAAGCAAGACCCTCATCTCTTCTAAAAATAGAAAAACTAAGCAAGAGGATAGCTTAAGCCAAAGCACCATGGCACTCTACCCAGGGCGACAGCTTGAGCCTATCTCAAAAAAAAAAAAGAAAATGTGCATACACACATATATATATACATATATATACACACACACATATATACATATATATACATGTGTGTATGTATACATACATATATTCAGTTAAGTATAATTTCCTATCTCCCTTTCTAGGTGGTAATGATTTGGTGGACTTGATCTATTTAAGTCATTTTTATAATATCCTTAGTACCAGGGACAGTGTCTCCCAGCCATATTTGTTGGATGAATAACTGTACAGCTTGCTTAATATCTCCTCCCAGCTAACTGAAAATTACCACATTAAAGCTAACTCCTTTGTATGCACAAAAAGGCACCTTTGCCAAATAAAAAGAAATTTATCTGGAATCCAAAAATCAGAAGGCTAAAATAAATGAAATTTAAAACTATTATTTTTTTTTTTTTTGAGACAGAGTCTCACTATGTCATCCTCGATAGAATTCCGTCACGTCACAGCTCACGGCAACCTCAAACTCTTGGGGTCAAGCAATTCTCTTGCCTCAGCCTCCCAAGTAGCTGGGACTACAGGCGCCCACCATAACGCCCAACTATTTTTTGGTTGTAGTTGTCATTGCTGTTTGGCAGGCCCCAGGCTGGATTCAAACTTGCCAGCTCTGGTGTGTGTGGCTGGTGCCCTAGCCACTGAGCTATAGGCACCGATCCTAAAATTATGTATTTTATACCATATATATATATGAGAAAAAAATCAAAAGACCATTAAATGAAGTAATTTTTTTCAAAATAACAATTTCTAGGCTATGACTGGAGTTAATACAGATTCGGGACAATTTTCTATATTTTTATATCCAAAATCCTCTACAATGATAAATGACATACATAATAATGACACCAATGTAAGACTAGCTTATGAATCAAACTGCCCTATGAATCAAACAGAACTTTGCATTATAGGCAAAGTAGTTATCAACTACATCGCAAAAGTTTTAGTGTTTTTAGCTAGAAAGGCTCACTGCCTATTCCTAAACATCTTCCCACTTAGTAACCTAATGCCTAAAAATCATCATTAATATTTTTACCTTTTATTTACAAGTCTAAACCAGTGGTTCTCAACCACAGGCCATTTTACTAGCTAGGCAACATTTAGCAATGTCTGCAGATATTTTTTGATGTCACAACTTGAGGCAGGATTTGTGAAGGTTTTGTTGTTACTGGCATCTAGTTGACATAAGCCAAGGTACTACTAAACATCGTAGAAGATACCCACCTCCAAACAAAGGATCCTCCAGCCCAAGAAGTTAATAATGCCAAAGTTGAGAAACCCTGTTCTAAAATCTGCTAAAATACAAAAATGTATTGTTTTTATTAATCTACACCTTAGCATGTCATCCATTTCAATCCAGGCCTTTATTTTTTTTGCCTCCTCCTCCACACTGTCACACTTATTTATTCTCACCTTATATGACATCTCAGCAGCATTTGACCCACCTAGCTGATCACTCTCCCCTTGAAACACTTCCTTCTCTCTACTTCCTTAACATCTCAGTTCTGGGGGTTCTTCCTGTTTTAAATGGGCACACCTTCTTAGTCGCTTCTGTTAACCTTTCATTGTTGTTTACTATCTGTGTTGTAATAACCCTAGTCTTCCCTTCCTTATCCTCATTTTTTCCCTAGCTGATCTCAGCCAATGCATGGTTTTAATTACATTTACATACCAATAACCCCAAATGTATAACTCTAACCCTGACCTTCAGTATAACCTTAAATTACATCTTTAAAACACAACTTCCATATAGGTTCACACTCATAGGTTCACCCTCAGGTCTCGGGGTTAGGACTTCAACATATCTTTTGGGGGAACACAATTCAAGTCACAATATCCACTAAAATCAATTTTGTACACAGCAGCCATAATGATCTTCTCAAATGTACATCAGTCCCATCTACTCCTCTGCCTACAGGGCTGTGTCCTGCTGGCTTCCTCCTACCATTTTCCTCTTACATCTCAACCACACCAGCTTTCTTTCTGTCCCTCCAACATACCAAATTACTCCCTATCATAGGGCCTCTGCATGGAAATTTCTGTGTAGCTTCCTTCTTCTCTCTCATCATTCAAGTTACAGGTCAAGTGTCACTTCTTCCTGGAAGTCTACTCTGACCACCTACCAAAACAACACATCCTACAGGTGGTCTCTTCACATAACCCTAGTTTCTCTGCAGCATTATCAATATCAGAAATTATTCTCTATGGTATTTACATGTGAAGCCCTCCCTGCTTGAACATAAGCTCCATTGAGAGCAGATTCAAGCAGTACAGCCCAAGAGCCTAAAACAGGACCAAAAATTTCTCATTTTTAATTACCAAACACCTCTCTTTTCTTTAATGACTTTATGAACTCCTATCTTAAACACCAAGGTCATTCAATTACTTTCCTCTTTTTTTTTTTTTTGTTCATTTAGCCATTTAATCCATTTGGAATTAATTTTTGTATACTTATAGGTCACCTTAGGTAATTCAAATGCAAACAGTCTACCACCTCAAAAAATTCTGACCTACTTACTCAATAAAGGTCAAACATTTCCCCAAGCCATTTGTAACCCTATTTGAACTTACCACCTCTTACCAATCCTAAACTGACGATTCCATCCCACTTTACCATTAGATCACACCAAAATGCCCTAATGGACTACCTAAGAGGATTGTGCTTAAAATGCACTTCCCACCTGCCTAATGAAAACCTACAAATCCTTAAAACCCTAGTTCTAGTGTCATCTCTCCTGGAAGGCCTTTTCTGACCAATCCCAGAGTTCCTTACTTTTTTCTTTATATTTATTTCCATGCTAACATTCCTCCATTGTATAATCTACAATGCATAATCTATCTGTCTAATAAGGTTATAACATAATACATATGAAAGAATTTAATACTGCTTTGCACAGAGCAAATGCTAAATAAATGTTAACTACTGTTATTATTACCACAACAGTTTCGAAGTGTTCGTTTGTATAACCTTCCTTACTAGATGACAAAGGACAGAAACTCAGTTATCTGCATTATCAATCTCAGTGGCCTGGCACAGATCAAGGATGAATAAAAAACGCTAAATAGGATCAGCACCCGTAGCACAGTGGTTATGGCGCCAGCCTGGCGGGTTCCAATCCAGCCCAGGCCAGCCAAACAATGACAAGTGCAACAAAAAAATAGCCTAGCATTGTGGCAGGAGCCTGTAGTCTCAACTACTTGGGAGGCTGAGGCAAGAGAATCGCTTAAGCCCAAGAATTTGAGGTTGCCGTGGGCTGTGATGCCACAGCACTCTACCCAGGGTGACAGAGTGAAACTGTCTCAAAAAGAAAAAAAAGTGCTAAATACGGTCCAGTAATGGCTCACGCCTGTATTCCTAGCACTCTGGGAGGCTGAGGGAGGTGGACTGCCTGAGCTCAGGAGTTTGAGACTAGCCTGAGCAACAGCCAGACCCCTGTCTCTAAAAATAACCAGGTGTTGTGGCCGTCACCGGTAGTCCCAGTTCCTTGGGAAGCTGAGGCAAGAAAATCGCTTGAGCCCAAGAGTTTCAGGTTAGGGCAACAAAATGAGATTCTGTCTCAAAAAAAAAGAAAAGGAAAAAGAAGTGCTAAATAAATCAATTACACCTCACTTCTAAAACAGATTAACACTGATTTTCTTTAACACTGAGTATTCTTTAAGGTATAAAAACAACCTTAAAGATGAAAAATGAACTGCTCTTCCTGCTTTTTGATTTGGTTCAAATTTCGGGAAGGAGCAAGACAGCTTTTTCCATATCCCAGGAAGAGAATTGCAAGGGCTCTGTGACTAACACTTTATAACCCATTAGTTTGTTATTTAAAGCAGATAATGGCATTTTTGTTTTTAAGAAAATGGGAAATCAAAAAACTTATCAGCTTCTTTGATTCGAAAAACACCCTGACGATTCAATCTACAAATGGAGAACCCCTACTTGGAGTAAAAATGTAGGGACTGTGATGTGTGGCTACCCTCCCCATTAAAGTCTACGTCCCTGCCAGCCCCGGACGATCACGGTATTCTTATATTGGGGAGTGGCGTGTCTCCTCGCCCTGGGGTTCCCCTAACACAAGATTTGTAGCGACTGAACAAACGGCCCTGCATTAGTCGGAGGCTGCAAACTACCAAGATGACCGCATCTCACAGGAGAAGAGGTGGAGAGATGCTTCAGGCGGGAAAGATGAAGTGTACAAATGCCAGATGCGGAGGAATAGAAAAAGGAGCGAGAGGATTAGTCAAAAATGCCGCCACTTTTCACTTCTCTTCGCTACCTCGAATTTTTTCACGTAGGATCCTGCTCCCACATGGGCTCACCTTCCCTCCTCCCGCACTCACAGCAGCAGGGGCCAAGACGCCACCCGCCCACCGGAGAACCCAGCAGGTGGCTGGCGGAGCGGCCACCGCGGGGACTCACCAGGTCGTCGTGCTGCCACTTCTCCGCCGAGATGGCCGCCTCGAGACCAGGTCCCCAGGAGCTCTGTCCCGGAAGGCCGCAGCCTTCGATCCCCACCGCGGTGCTGCGGGGGTCGGAAACAACAGAAGCCCGCCCAGTGTCCCGGCTTCCGTAGGCGGACGGCGCCGCGGCCCCGGATGTTGATATGCCACCTGCCCCGGAAACGGTGGCCGGAGGCTCAGGGGGGCGGAGGCGGCGTTGCCCGGCTCTCCGGAAGGAGACGTGGCGGCGGTTGGGACCCCGTCTGCCTGGGCGCTTTATAGTCCCGCCGCCTCCTCCTCCTCCTACTGCTCCTCTCCTCCTTGGACAGAGGAGGTTGTGGCGGCGGCTGGAGAAAACGGCAGCGGAGGATGGAGGAAGGAGGCGGCGGCGTGCGGAGTCTGGTGCCCGGTGGGCCGGTGTTGCTGGTCCTCTGCGGCCTCTTGGAGGCGTCCGGCGGCGGCCGAGCGCTCCCTCCGCTCAGCGATGACATCCCTTTTCGAGTCAACTGGCCCGGCACCGAGTTCTCTCTGGTCAGTGCCCTGACATAATCGGCAGCCATCTCACCTTCTGCTGGCACTAAGTGTTCGGCCTCATCCCTCGGTTTTCTTTACTTTTCCCCCTCAGAACCTCCTTTGCTGGAAGCTTCTCCAAGCCAAAGCTGCTTGTACTCAGGGCTCGTTCGGTCGTTCGTTCGTTCATTCATTCATTTACGCATTAGGTGGATGTGTCCCCCATGCTAACTAACTCTTAGGAATCCAGATTGCTCTTTCTTTTTTAATTCCGTCGCTTTAGAACTTATTTCCCAACTCTCCCATCCTTTGGAAACAGCTTTCTTAGAATCATATCAGGTGTATTTATCTTCCCTTTGGAGAATCAACTGCAGCTCTTCCTCCACCAGCAGCCTTCTTTCCTTTAGTATTACACAGCACCCTGGCCACACAGCCGTACTGCAAACCTGAGTTTCCTTTCTCATCTTCGTTTTTCCTCTCTTGTACACACAGAGGGAAGCTTTTCCCTCCACAGTGGTTTCTGAGAGGAATATTTAGCCTGTGAGATGTTAAGGACCCTTTATATAGATTATCTTTTACAGTTTTAGTATATAACGACTAAAGACCGCAGAACGTGAGATTATTATGATGAATTTTCCTACAGTAAAGAACAGATAAATAAACTCAGGGAAAAGAAAAGTCAATTTGGGGGAAGTGCACTGCTTGAAGAGTCTTATCAATGTGTAGCTACTTCGGGCCAATAGAAGTGTGCTCCTTTAGTATTAAATATTAATTCACTTATTTCAAACTGAAGTCCTGGAAAAAGCAAAAGTTAAAAGAAATTTTTATTGTAATTACCTGCACTTATTCAACTTGAGAGACTATGTTTTTATATTGCTCTATTACTAGTTCACTGAAACATACACTAAATGATACCATGATGTCAAAACAGGATTTAGCGAGTTAATGGACGTTATTGTTAGCACATAGCTTTCTGTCTGCACATGTTAGGTTTTGTTTGTTTCTCACACCTGGTTTGTTTCTCCACCCCTGCTTTCTCCCATTCTGGTTGTTCGATAATTTTCGAATTTATCTAGGTAAATATTTCTCTGGGAAGTCAGGTTTCTCTTTGTATTGGAGAAATACTGGTACATTAAAATGCTCATATAATTTTTTTTTTCTTTTTTGAAACAGAGTTACCACTCTGTCACCCTGGGTAAAGTATTGTGGCATAATCGTAGCTCACAGCAACCTCAAAGTCTTGGGTTCAAGAAATCCTCTTGCTTCAACCTCCCAAGTAGCTGGAACCACAGGTGTGGGCCACAGTGCCCCCGGTTTTTCTATTTTTTGTAGAGACAGTGTCTTTCTCTTGCTCAAGCTATTCTCAAACTCCTGAGCTCAAGCAGTCCATCTGCTTCAGCTTCCCAGAATTCCAGAATTACAGGCATGACCCACAATGTCTGGCCTAAAACTTTGTAATATATCAGAAATAATTTTAGTAGGCTTGGGGTGAGAATACTTTAATCTGACTATCATTGTTGTGTCCAAAGAATGCACTTAAAATGAACATGACAAATGTTCAAAGAATATGGTTATCAAAATGTTTTACTTTACACCTGTGGTTTTTTAATTGAGAAAAAGCACACTGATATGTGACCCTGAAAATTTATAGACCTATGAGTAAATGACTAAAGCTAGCAGTTTAGAGGTTACTACCAAACTGTTGTTGAGTTGTTTTTTTTTTTTTAGAGATTGCGTCTTAACTATATTGCCCAGACTGGAATGCAGTAACTATTCACAGATAAAGATAGTATACTATAGCTTCAAACTCCCAGGTTCAAGCAATCCTGCCTCAGCCTCCTGAGTAGCTGGGAGTACAGGCTTTGACCACTGCACCTAGCTTTTTTCTCTTTAAGCTTGAGTTATTTTGAGAAAAATGTACAGACATTTTTCTATGAATTGGCACAAGGTCAGTGGGCCCCATGCAAAAGTAAGCCACAATAGTCATTGTCACTGGACTTTTGCTTTTTTGATGACTTCTATAATCTTAATGTTTCCCTTGTCTGCTTTATTTAATTCCAAACTACTTCTCTCCTCACCTAGCACTGCCATTTTTTTTAAATGAGCCAGTTAGTTGGACATTTTTTATCTAAAGCTGCTGTATTAAGTAAAGTTTTTTATCTACTATCAGAAATTAGAGAGAAGGGATTAGAAGAAGATCTGAATTTTTTTTAGCATTAAAATTCTCTGCTTTAAATCACCCTTCCAGCTCGGCGCCTATAGCTCAACCGGCTGAGGCGCCAGCCACGTACACCTAAGGTGGCGGGTTCGAATCCCCAGCCCGGAC